TTCCAAAGGTTTTATTAAGAATATTGGGAAAAAAAGAGAAGAGTAACATTCAAGCGAGCTTGATTATTACAACAATGAATACCAAAACAGACCTAGACTTTGTCATATCAACCTGTGCCATACTTGAGCGACTCCCCCTCGGACGATCCATCGGAAAAACTAATAATCTGCAAAAATAAAGGACATATATATAACCAGCAAAAACATTCATGCTCTAAGGTATTCCAAGCTGGTGATGAAACACCTCTTAGAGCATCATCTAAATCAGGTAGAGATGGGAGTGTACAGACCCAAGCGGGATCTGAGTATACCAAAATGATTCCAATCAAATGCTCTTTAACACATGCCCAATGCCCGTTTTTTCATAGCCATAAACTTCACACTCTCATGACTAGGAGGTGTCACTTCATCACACTTATGAGATTATTCAGCACTCTTAACAGCACAATGATCTATTTTCTTTTTTCCTTGATGCAAGCTTGCACTACCAACATGGAATTTATCAGGAGCAACATCCTTCACACAAGGATTATCACTTGTTTTGTTCTGATTATTAGGTACCGAAATCATCCATGTTGTCACATTTTTTTTTCTGTATCTTTGCTCTTTAAAAATCTTGCATTTCCTTTGAATGTGTCCCCTTTTTCCACAGCAAAAACAAACATAATTAGCATAGACATTAGTATAAGAATACCTTTCAGGTTTAGGATAATGATCCTTGTGTCTTCTCATACTAGATTGGGTCACAACTCCTTGCCTTTTCCAGCAGATTTGGCAGTTTCTAGTTTCCTTCTTTGTGGGGCCTTTTGAGAAACTTCGTTTCTTTGATCAACAAACAAGTCAAGTGGGGTTTTGTGAAGACACGAAGTTTGGTTTCCTTTCGTGTAGGACCATCTTACCACGATACGGTTTGGTGCGATGTGATTCCCATGAAAGCTTGTCATCTCCTACTCCGGAGACCATGGTTATATGATCGGCGAGTTTCCTATGATGGCTTTACCAACTCGTATTCATTCTTCTTGAATACTAGGAGAATCACTCTTTCCCCAATAATACCATCCAACAAGCTGCCCGAAACACCGCCCCCATCCGTGCTTGCCATGTTTGCCTACCACGAATCTAAAGAGTCACCATATGATTCTTTGCTTGAGCAAAACCAGCTGTTGGGCCTCTCTAAAGACCCCCTACCCGACCCCTTCTATGAAAAGGAAAGCCTCAGGGGCAAACCGACACTAACGGCTTTCAATGCCAACACCTTTTTGTTTAATTTGCAGGTCATACACAAAGGCACAGGTGTGAGAGAGAACACGTCCTCAAGGTGTTCTAGAGATAAAGATA